ACTATTACAAGTATTTCATATTATTTCTTTAACATGAATATATAAAATATATAATATATTGTTTTCTTTGTTGTTTTGCTTCTTTTACACTTTCTATGTATGCACCTTTTGGTTCTTTATCACCTCTGCTTTGTGCTAGTTGGCTTTGTAACACATAAGTATGGTGAAAGGTGTGATGCATGTCCATATGAACCATTAACCAGGGATTGTTAACATTAAAATAACCTGGAGGTTCCAACTAGTATAGAAATTAGTTGTTGTATCAGGTACAGATGCCATTTTCTTTCATTACAAAGAAATAAATTTTAAACCGGGAATGGATAATTCCGGAACGCATTTTCTAAGAATTACGTTTCCGATGATTGATTATGAAAAATAATAATCGATCATCGGAATCAGTAGCATTTTTTCGTCGACAATCGACGTTCTCTGATTATGAGTACAACACTAGAAACAAACTCACTTGCATTGAATTGCAGCAAGTGTAACACATTGCTTCATATTCACCTCAAGCTATGTTTATTCACTCTCAAACAACTTAACTTGAAAAATCAAATTTTCATATAAAATTGGAAGTCTCTTTTTTGGATCAATTGTACTGCAAATGGCAACCTTTGAGTAAACTTTACATGAACTCTTGTAGAAAGATTCATTCATGTTAGAAACAATGGCCTTCTAGAAAGAGGAAGATTCTTGATTGGATCAGATGATTGGTTGGTGGCTCCAGGATATTGAGCGATTCCAATTACATAACGCTCGCATTAAAGTAATACGATAATATTACAGGTGATTTTTTGCCGTAAACCATGTTAATTAGGTATAACTCTGATGTTCAAGACCTTAAAAGTGCATGCAGTTCATAATTTGACTACAGATTTTTTTTCCCTTCATTAATGGCCTAAAATTCCCCTCAGCGGTCTTTCCTGGTGGAACATGTTTCAAGTTAGCTTTACAAATTACATTTGATCACAGTAAATTCAAGGAAAGTGGATGCAAATTGGAATAAAGTTCTATTCCTGCATCTTAATGGAACAATATCTACACCCTCCTCTCTGTAGTAGTCAGAAGTAATTGTCCCGATAGCTTGCCTTGGTTCTTTGTTATTCCAGTTTTCCTTGTAAGCCTCATTAATAAAAAAAACTTTCTCTGTTCTAAAACAAACATAAAGAAATCTGTCTTTTATAAATGTGTGATTTCTCTTGTGTGTTCTTAACCTGCAGCTGCAATCACACACTAAAGCAAATTATGCACTCCCACTTTACATTGATCCTAATGGAAATATTTGTAATCAAGACTTGTCCAAGGTTGTGAAAGATTCTTTCTTATTCTTCATTATCCTTTTACCTAAGAGGCCCATAGCAGGGCTAGAAATAATTATTTTTGTTTACTGGTCACTCAGGCTATCGCCTTAAATTTTTACTGGTCAGCTTAGTACTTTCACTGTCCCACTGGGCCAGTAGATTTAAAAAAGACTGGCCCAAAACTATAATAATGATAGTAATATTTTTTTTATTGTGATACTTAGAAGTAAAATTTAAGAAAACAAGAAACAGCAGAAGTTGGGACACACAACCCTGTCAAGTTAACTAGCCCGATTGTGAAAGAATTTTATTTTGCATAAAAAAATGCTGACCCAAAGGGCACATGCCTTCTGCAATGTAGTAGCCCAGATTGAAAATTCACTGGCCCCAGACCAGTGGGCCATCAATTATTTCGAGCCCTGCCACAGGCCTTAAGAGTCACCTGAGTATCTAAGATTCTCAAGCTATGACCCACCTGGGTAAAGAACTCTGAACCCATGTGACACAAATCTTACAATTTGGTTCATTATCACATTGCATGAAGTTTGTCTCCTAGAAGCTTAAGGGGATGAGGGGCATATGGTCACATGACTCAATTTAATATAATACAGTTGAACTTCGGTATCTTGAACATGGATATCTCGAATACCATGGATATGTCGAAGTGATTTGGAAGTCCCAAGCAGTTTTTCTTTAAGTATATTACCCTCAATATCTCGAACTCTCGGATATCTCGAAGTTTTTTTCTCGGTCCAATTGAGTTCCAGATAACGAGGTTTGACTGTATGTCATAGTGCAAAACATGATTTAAACCATTAGTACCTGTATAATTTTTTGACAATTTGTTTTACTTCACCATCTTATATAATAATATTTAAAAGTTTTAACAGTCTTGTAACATTAACAAACTATGAAATAGATTGATCCACTCCTCTGTTTCCCTACACTGCACGTCCAGCAAGTCAGTGATGTCATACACGATCTGTCAGTACAGCAAGATCATACTTGGTGAATACAGGGGCAGTATTAAGTAAAAACAGGTCATAATCAGCACATGGTGAGGTATTTTGTGAAACAGGGAACACCAAAATTATTTTTGCGTGGTTGATGACAAAAATCTTATGTAGGTATATCTTATTTAGCTTACATGTGACGACATAGTTGGTTTTCTCGTACTCGAAAAATGTAAACATGACATGTTTTTATCATGCTTATGTCTTGTCTTGTTATTAAATAACAATGTCCTGAGCAATAATTGAGGTAAGCTTCACACTTTGATATTTTTACAGTTTATCCCTTAAAATTCAATGTAAATTTTCAAATATTGAATGATAGATTTTTTTTCATATCAAGTTTTCTGTTAAGTTGTCTTAAAAAGTATGCAATTTTCCCTATCCAGATCAGTGATAAAAGAAACTTACTTTTTCAAAATTTAAACCCTATTCATATTCTGACATATTTTAAAAGATACATGTCTACTTACATATGTTTTATCTATGCTTAAAAATTCCCATTATGGACAGAATAATGGGCCCACAAACATGGAGAATCAAAACTCCACTTAGATATCGTAGGGCATAGTATTTGTCAATCAATACCTCTAAAATAAGGTACTTTAGAATATGTGGGACATACTAAATTAGTAATATACAAATCAAGTATGAAAAAAATTGAATGAAATAATTCTTTTCAGCTCAAGGTCCTTCTAACCCTTGAGAGAAGTGTTCATTATCACAGTTTTTAAGGATATAATGAATTTTTAATTAATGAGCTACTTGGCACTTGGGCCCTCAACTCCCAACCCAGGGTACACGAGTTTCAAAATTTTGGTTACTACTCTTTGTAATCTGCAAACAGTATGCCTGCTAGATATCCCGAGTAAATTTTTTTAAAAGATTAGTAGATTTTCAATTTATGACCAACTTATCCCAGCCCCCAGCCTTATTAATACTAAATCCAAGAGATAAGAATTATTATTGTAACCAGTGTAAGTAATTAAATGTTTCAGTTTCAATGTTTTATTTTATAATTATTTCTGTTGTGTGTGTTTACATTTGTGTTGTCATGTGTGAATGTCCACGTGTGAGTATTTATGTTTACTAGTGTGACGTACTTGACCATTTCCGGTTTGACCAGTTCTATTTCTATTAATAACTTTTTACTAACTTTCCCGCGACTAAATGTTTTCCATGCACACTCGGCGCTACACCCTTTACGGGGATAGACGTTATATTGTATTAGAGCTGATTAACAAGTGGTGCTTGGTAAATATATTTATTTTATATACATATTTCTTATTATCTTTGTAATTAAAAGTAAAGTCATCAAGTATTTGTAAATGTTTATTAATTATTATGACTTTATTTCAGGTTTTTCTTATATATATTACAATAATTAAAATCTTGGTCAAACCTTACTACTGACTTATGTCTTACTGAAGAACCTGGAATCTACCGACATGGTTTACAAATGGCGCCCACGTTAATTGGAAAACCAGGCATCCAAGACTGATCCATTGGAATAATTAGGAAAAGAACCCGGGGAGCGGATTGGAGAGAGGGCGGACATAGAGAAGTCGCTGACCTTTTCATTTCCATATCCAGCGAATTATAGGCCTATTCTATACATCTTATGTGTGAATTCATGGATCTAAATCAGCTTTGAGTGTACTGTAAATCATTAATGTGTTTTGTTTGAAACTGGCCGGTATTGAAAAGTGTGTTCATAACAGTGTAAAAAAATTCACAGGCGGATCCCGAGAGGCGAATCCGATACTTCCGGAACCGTGACGTCACAGTTATGCGCGCAGCGAACCAATGACCGACCAAAATGGAGTCTTCCAATTCTATTCAGCGTGATTCGTAAACTGGTCTGCGGAGCAAAGGTACTGTAACTAATTGTGCATACAAATGGTCATTTCCATGTGTTATTCTGTGTACTTGTTTGTCATATTTGTGTGTGCAAGTTACTGTCTTCGTCTAATGTGTTGTCTCAATGTCTGTACTTACTACTGAGGTGTAAAAAGGGAATTCCCAAGGTCTATTTTTGTTTCTATTTATAGTGCACAAGACAGTTTCTAAAGTTTTGCTGTATTAGTGTATATTTTTTTCTTTTTCAGGTTGATAATTGTTTGTTTTGCAAATTATATTTTTGTATCTATATTTATATTTTCATTGTAAGTTCATTATTTATAGTTTTATTTATTTCTAGGTAGCTGTAAATTAGGTGTTTGTAAATTTAGGTAGCAGCAAGCCGAGTTCACTTTCTAACCAGCATGCAGTTATTTCACTAATCAAACTAATATTTCTTTCAGTCCATTGAACAGTAGACAGACCTACGGAGCAGAGAGTTATTGTGTGTATGTCTGTATGTTGTGTGTTTGTGGTTTTGAATTTTAGGAATTTTATGATGAATTGTTTAAAACTGGGTATCATAAGTTGAATTAAACCATCTTTAAAGTATTCAATTTCACCAGTAAACATATCACCAGGTAACTTACTCAAAAGTTAATTAAGAGTTACTACATCAGATAGCAGTTGCTGTGGTTGTATGTACAAAGTTGTAATGATCTGTTGAGGTGATCAGTTGAACAGTTTTTTGGTTTGTTGTTGTGAATAGTTATTTTATATTGGTTTGAACTGTACAGTTGGCGTAAATATTTGGTGTGAAGTTGTGAAGTGTAATTAATTGTTCATAGAAATGGCTGACAAAGAAAAACAAAAGGTTACTGCAGATGTATCCTCATCAGAGGAAAACAAACTTGATTTTGCTGGTGTTGCACAACCTGCAACCAGTACCCCCAAAACCACAAAAGATGGTAACCCTGTTAAAACAGAGGTATCTGTACCTGCTGAACATTTACAAAGTGCAAAACCAAAGGTATCTATACCTGATCACAATGTTCCTTTACATCTTGGACAAAAGCACAATCCCTTTGCAAAGTTAGCTTGTAATTTTGGTGATACTAGTAGTAGTGGTAGTAAACTACAAAATACCTTTTATGATAAGGATGGGAATAGCATCAACCAGGTGTATGAGTTTAATACTAACATCCCAAGAATCCCACAATTCTCGGGTGATGACCCTCCTCAGAAGGGGGATGTTTCATACAAAGAGTGGAGATTTGAAGTGCAGTGCCTAATGCGTGACCCTGATATAAAATCAAATATTCTGATACAAAGTATTAGACGGTCATTAAGGGGTACAGCAAAAACAATGTTAATTCCGCTAGGTGAGAAGGCTGGTGTTAAGCAAATTTTAGAAAAACTTGACATTTTGTTTGGTGAAATTTCCAACAATGGCATGATTATGCAAGAATTTTTCAATGCATTTCAACTACCAGGTGAGTGTGTAACAGCATTTGGGTGTAGACTTGAAACAATGCTACAGAATGCCATAGATAATGGTTATCTTGATCGTGCATCTAAGAATGACTTATTACGGCATAAGTTTTGGACTTCATTGAGTTCAGAGAAGCTTAAGTCTCAAACAAGACATAAATATGATGACATCAAGAATTATGACAAGTTGTTGTTAGAAATAAGAAGGGTAGAAAAAGAAATTTTGATAAGTTCTAGCATTTCAGAGAAAAAGCCAGTTCATCAACATGGTATGTCAGTATCTGAAGACTTAGAGGAGAAGTTAATGGAGAAGATGAGGAATATGGAGACAAAATTGGAAGGTAAGATAAATGACAAGTTCAACCAGATACTAGAAAAATTGGATGGTAGAACAGGTAATGTAGCAAGTAGACCTACAGAAAACAGAGGTAGAGGCAGTTACTACAGAGGCCGTGGAGTTTGGAGAGGCAACTCTAATTACTACAGAGGTAATTCAAATGACAAAAGGATTAATGCTGGTCGAGGTCAAGGACAGAGACGGGATCAAGGAAAAAGAACAGGTAATTATAACCCAAACGAATAGAGGTCTCTGATGAAGGCCGACCGGGGACCATGATTTCAAGTGAAGGCCAGCAGTTAAAATGCAAAATGATTGGTGAGTCAAATGAGACTATTATTTTTATACATGACAATTCTTTTACAGGTCTTGTTGACAGTGGATCAATGGTAACAACATTGTCATTATCAGGTTACTATTCTATGAAAAATCAACCAGAGTTGAAAGATTTATCTAACTTAGGGTTAGAAGTGTCTGTTGCAGATGGTTCTCTATTGAAATACAAGGGGTATATAGAGTGTACTGTAAAAATTCCATTTATGGATGTAGAGTTATTTGTCCCTATTTTAATTGTACCAGACACTGATTTCAATAGAACATGTCCTGTTATCATTGGAACTAATGTGTTGAGAATTTGTAGAGATTTGTTGGGTGAAGATTCCAATGAAATAAAAACAATTCCAAAAGAATGGAAAGTAGCACTAAAGAGTATGAAGAGTAAGTGTTACCATGTCAAATCAGTGTGTAAGAAACCTATTATGGTACAACCTAATGAATCTACTGTTATAAAGGGTCGTGTTAAAGGTTTAACAAGTAACAACATGACAATGGTTTCTGAAAACTGTGATAATACTGATAGGTTTACAGTTTGTCCAAGGGTAGTTAAGTTTTCTACACCTACTACAAAGTCTACAGTGCAAGTCAAAATTTGCAATATATCTGCCAAACCCATCTCAGTTAGGCATGGCACTGTACTTTGTAATCTCCAAGAAGTTAAGGTGGTAGATAATTTTTCTGCATTAAATCCCAAATCTGAACTGTGTGACCCTATTGAACTTGGAGTTAAAGTTGACTCTAGTATGCTTAATGAAGATCAGTTCAATACTGTGAGAAATATGCTAAAACAGTACAGTCATGTATTTTCGAAAGGACCATTAGATCTCGGAAGAACTGATTTAGTCAAACATTCTATTGAGTTAGATGACACCAAACCATTTAAACAACCATATCGCAGGATTCCTCCAGGTATGTATGAGGAAGTCCGTCAGCACGTGCGCGAAATGTTAGATGCCGGAGTTATTCGCGAATCCAATAGCAATTATTCTTCGAATGTAGTGCTTTGTCGAAAATCAGACGGATCTTTGCGGTTTTGTCTCGACATGAGAATGTTAAACTTGAAGACGCGTAAGGATTGCTATATGCTTCCTCGGTTTGATGACGTCATAGATACCCTGTATGGAGCCAAGTTTTTCAGCAAACTCGACCTACGATCGGGCTATTGGCAGGTGGAAATTGAGGAAAAAGATCGGTACAAAACAGCATTCTCGGTAGGTAATTTAGGTTTTTATGAGTGTAACAGAATGAGTTTTGGATTAACAAATGCTCCTGCAACATTCCAACGGTTGATGGAGAAGTGCATGGGAGATATGCATTTGAAAGAATGTTTGATCTTTTTGGATGATGTACTCATATTTTCAAAAACTTTTGAAGAACATTGTGTTAGACTTAAAAATGTATTTACAAAATTAGCTCAGCATGGATTAAAATTGAAACCATCAAAATGTGAATTATTCAAAACTTCAGTAACTTATTTAGGCCATGTTATTTCAGAAAAAGGAATTCAAACTGATCCGGAAAAATTATCAGCTGTTCGTGATTGGCCAACACCGACCAACATCAAACAACTCCGTCAATTCCTTGGATTTGTGGGATACTATCGGCGTTTCATACAACATTTTGCCAAGATAGTAGCTCCACTTAACACCCTACTTCAAGGTCATGGTACAACTAAGAAACAGAAGAGGAAAAAGAATAGAAATACACCAGTAAAGTGGCAGTGGACGAAGAAAGAGGAAGAGGCATTCCAGACGGTAAAGAGCAAGCTTCTAGAACCCCCTATACTTGGATTTGCCAATTACAAATTACCATTCATCTTACATACAGATGCTAGCAGTTTTGGATTAGGGGCTGTTCTCTACCAGGTCCAGCAAGGTAGGAAAAGAGTGATAGCCTATGCCAGCAGAGGCTTGAGGCCAAGCGAGCGGAACTATCCAGCTCACAAACTGGAGTTCTTGGCACTCAAATGGGCGGTCAGTGATAAATTTCATGATTACCTCTATGGTACTACTTTTCAAGTGATCACAGACAATAACCCCCTTACATATGTGATCTTTAAAGCCAAGCTTGACGCTACCAGCCAAAGGTGGGTTGCTGCTTTGGCAGGCTATGATTTTACAATAGCATACAGACCTGGTCAGCAAAACGCTGATGCAGATGGGTTGTCAAGGAAGCCAGAGCTTTTCTCAGAGGCTATTAAGGCCATATGCCAGTCTATACTGTGTGGTGTTCCTTATTGCCAGACTATTATAGATGACTCTTCACCAAATTCTGCTAGTTTTGAGACTATAGAATCCCAATATCTAAGCAAAATTAACTGGAGAAAAGAACAGGAGGAGGACAAGTATCTAGCAAGAGTTATAGAGTTGAAGAAACAAGGATTTTACCCAAAAAGAGTGAACATGAAAAAGGAGGATTATTCAGTTCAGAGATTTTTTAGGGAATGGAGGAAACTTTATCTGAAAGATGGAATTCTCTACAGGAAAGCAATTATTGATGACAAAGAGGTAAGTCAGCTGGTGATCCCTGAGGTGTATCGTGAAGTAGCTTTTCAAGGAATTCACAGAGATACAGGTCATCCTGGAAAAGAGAAAACCCTGTGGTTAGCAAGGCAAAGGTATTTTTGGCCAGGGTTAGAAAGGGAGATAACTGAGAAGATAGAAAATTGCCCTAGATGCATAAGACGCAAAACTCAAGCAAAGCCTTTTGCTGAGTTAGTCCCTATTGAGACCACACATCCAATGGAATTGGTGTGTATTGACTTTTTGAGTCTAGAGAAAAGTAAAGGAGGGACAGAGGATATATTGGTTATTACCGACCACTATACGCGCTTTGCACAGGCCATACCATGCCGTAACCAAAAGGCTACTGTAACAGCAAAAGCCCTATATGAGAATTTCTTCCTTCATTATGGTTTTCCAGAGAAATTGCACAGCGATCAAGGCAGGAATTTCGAGTCAAAAGTTATAAAGGAGCTTTGTAAGCTGCTAGGAATCAGAAAAACCCGTACGACACCATACCATCCTATGGGTAATGGTTCGGCAGAGCGGTTTAATCAAACACTTTTGAAGATGCTGGGTACCCTAGATCCCAAACAGAAGACAGACTGGAAACAACATGTTGCCCCTTTGGTTCAGGCATATAACGCTACCAAGAGTGATGCGACAGGTTTTTCCCCACATTTCTTAATGTTTGGTTGGAGTCCAAGACTACCTATAGATTCCTTCCTTGGACTTAACCCAGGAAATGAAGGAGATGTCAACCCAAAAGGATATGTGGAGAAACTTCAACAGAGGATGAAGTCAGCATATGCCATAGCATCTGAGGAGGCAAGGAAATCAGGATTAAAGAACAAAGAGAGATATGATGCTAAGGTAAGAGAGACCAAGTTAGAACCGGGAGATAAAGTTTTGGTAAGGAATGTTGGTTTAAAGGGTAAAAACAAGTTGGCTGACAAATGGGAAGAAACTGTTTATACAGTGAAGGAAATGCCAAATCCAGATGTTCCGGTGTTTAGGGTTAAAGCCCAGGGTAGACCAGGCAGAACAAGGACGCTGCATAGGAATATGCTTCTCCCTTATTCTGGATTGCAAGAGGGAGAGGAAGTACAGTCTAAACAGCAGGAAGGTAGCCGAAAAAAGGCAAAGAAAGAGGGCTTGGACACTTGTATGCCAGCAGTAACAACGGATTCATCCGATTCATCTGAAACAGAATCTGAGAGTGACAGGGAAAATTGGACAGTGAGAAGAGTCTTGAGGACAAGATCAAAGGGAGACAAACCTGAACTGCCATCATCTATACAAGGGGTTTTGCCAGTAGTTGATGAAGGTTATAGTTACTCGGGTATTAGTCAAAGTCAAAATGAATTTAATAATTGTAATTATTCTTTATCCTTTCAGAATTCAGATGTTGATGAGTTGAGCCAGAGGACCAATGAAGCAAGTCAGAATTCCGAGGCAGATGTGTCAGAGCAAGCTCCAACTATTAGACGATCTACGAGAACAAAGAAGCAGCCAGATAGATATGGGGAATGGACGAGTTAAAATGGACACTCAGAGTAAAGTGATAAGTGAAAGTGATTTCAAAGACTTCTTAAGTGAAGATAGTATTTTATCATTGTTTTTATGATTTGTGTAAATATTTATTCTGAATAAATGAATCTATGCATGACATTCACCGATACATGTTGTTTATTTAAAGATAAACAATCGATACTGTAATTATACAGTGTAACTTTATTGAACCCCCATCATCAATTGACATTTGATGAAATTAATATTTAACTTGAGATTGACTTGAACATATTCAGTTGATTGCGGTTGGTTCAGTTGATATGATTCGTTGACAATGATGTTGAGGTCTTATGTGTCAAAGGTTTGTGGCAGGTTTGTTCTTCAGTGTCAGTGAGTTGTATTTTGGTGATGCATTAATGGATTCAGATGATGTTCGATTATTTTACTTGGTTTGATTATATTTTTAGCATGTTTTCTGGATTAATTAATTTGTTGTACATATATTCTGAATTGATTCAGCACTTTGAATTAAAACATTGCCTGATATTTAATTTCAGAGAATGTCAGGAGCCATTTAATAAAAGGGGGGAATATGTAACCAGTGTAAGTAATTAAATGTTTCAGTTTCAATGTTTTATTTTATAATTATTTCTGTTGTGTGTGTTTACATTTGTGTTGTCATGTGTGAATGTCCACGTGTGAGTATTTATGTTTACTAGTGTGACGTACTTGACCATTTCCGGTTTGACCAGTTCTATTTCTATTAATAACTTTTTACTAACTTTCCCGCGACTAAATGTTTTCCATGCACACTCGGCGCTACACCCTTTACGGGGATAGACGTTATATTGTATTAGAGCTGATTAACAAGTGGTGCTTGGTAAATATATTTATTTTATATACATATTTCTTATTATCTTTGTAATTAAAAGTAAAGTCATCAAGTATTTGTAAATGTTTATTAATTATTATGACTTTATTTCAGGTTTTTCTTATATATATTACAATAATTAAAATCTTGGTCAAACCTTACTACTGACTTATGTCTTACTGAAGAACCTGGAATCTACCGACATGGTTTACATTATTTATATAGTTAATGTTCTGGTCTGTACGCAGCTCTGTTAAGGCTGCATAAAGGGGGCGTGGCCTAATTTACACGGGAAATGTCTACTGTGACATCACACAAATATAGCAGTTCTTCACAACAACAGAAAATGAAATAATTTGCGGTTTTAAACTGCATAAGAGTGATGAACTACATCAAAACTTACCACTGCATTAATTTTTGTCGCTAGTTAAATCCCACACAGCAAGATATAAACAAGTCACTGATCGCAATGCACTTGTCGACATGACGTCATCATGGTAAACTTTGACGCATTTTATGTGCAGTGAGAGGCGGATCAAGTAATTTTTCCACAGTGAAAAACGGATTTTATTATTAAACAGAGTATTATTCGCAAATCTGAGGTAGACCATTAATACAAATCTGAAACCTTTGTTTAGTGCCATTATTTAAAAACTATCGAGAGAATGTATTATATAAATTCTACCGTGTTTTTGTATACAGGGTGTGCATGTTTCACGCTGAGGTGCCTCATTAAATCACCTTTTTGCAAGGGCATACATTTAATAGATCTTGACCATTTTTTGAATATGCATAACGGAAACAATCCTTAACTTGAAAAGTGCTGCTGCTTTCCTGAAATCGAGAGCATTTCTAAATAAATAATTAAAATACATGGTAAAGGTAACACATATTTCGACTAAAGCCAAATAACTTGAAATTTAAACTAATAAAATGCAAATTCTATTTAAAGCAGCAGCACTTTCCACAAAGTACAAGTTATATAGATACAATTTATTACTGAAATTTTTAATTCTAACGAGGGTATGCCCTTGCGATATTGAAATTTGTTTATGACCTACATACATTACACATTATATGCATTTATCACGTGACTGTCAAATAACGTGACCAAACCAAATTCCGTACAGAGCAGGGTATACTATGTTATTTCAATTAAAATTAAAGTCATGTGATAATATAATAGCTTTACAAAAAAAATTCAGTTTAAAAAGGTATGTATTTATGCACATTTATATTACGCTGATTTCTTCGTAGTAAGCCTTAACAGTCCTGCGTAACAGCAAACTGTTTTCCCGCTAACTTTTCCAAGCAAAAAATAAAGAATTTTCAATATATGTGTGACCATTTTTGTCCTTACCTTGTCATTAAGAATCTTAGTTAAGAAAACTGCACCTAATTATCCAAGGGACTACATATATATTTATACATTAAATAACAAACTCATGATGGGATAAAACAAAATGTACTCTGGACAAGAAATCTCAATGTTCAAATTTTTCCTACTTTGGCATGTATGCGGAGACTTTTATAGATAATATTGTCGGAGATGTAGCATGTTGAATAAATGTTACAGGAAGTACATATATTGATATATTACCAGTATCTTATAATGGTCTTAAAGAAATATAAATTTCACTTAGTAAAATAATGAAAGAGTCTGACGTGACACACAGTATCCAGGTGCAGGTAAAAACCCACGTGACTCGGAAGAAAGGTTAAGGAAGACACTCATTTGGAAGGTAATTAGTAATAATGGGATATCATGTTACCAGCTATGAAAATCAATATGGATCTTCCTCACTTCAGAAGGTATAATGAAGAATAGAAACTATGGAGACAATAATGATTTCTCCCCTTGCTTTTCAAATCCAAAAAGTGAATTCTTACAAATTTGTTAATCAGGTCTGTGATCTGTAAATTATCAATTATTGAGAAAATGCTTTGCCAAATCAGTGTACCAGTTAAGTCATAAAGAAAAGGCACTATACTTGTGATCATGAAAGCATGCTTGCTTCATTAAAGATTATAATTCTACCATTCACTTTCTCAGAAACCAGTGTTTGTCATGATTTCTGTGGAATTATCACAGAAAATACAGACAAACCAAACTCTTTATTAAATACAAGATTTGGTACACTGTATTACCATACAAGTATTTTTGACAAGTTTTGATGATAGTAATTTTTCCAATCGGTATTAAGTGTCTTTTCTCCAATTGAGACAAGATTGGTTTTATTCTACCAAACTTTGGCTGATAATTCAGTTTAGACATAGTTCATAGCTCTACATCAAAATTAATTCCAAGTAAAGTAAATCTGTCTACCAGTTCAGATTAAAATCTCTGGAAAGGATATCCTAACTATATTTTTTTTATCCAATCCATACCGTATTGGTTTTTGGAAAAATTTTCTCTTAGTCCTGACATTTAAGAAAAAATGCTTTCATCGTTTCTTAAAGAGATTCCTTGCTGCCATTAAGGATAACTGATGTATCATCAGCTGGTTGTGAGATTTTCTTTTCATCATTACATACAATAATTCCTTTAATCCTTTTATTTCTTTTATTTAATGTATAGAACTAAAATTTCTGCAAAAAGTAGAAAAATATAAGTTGATAACAACCTCTTTGGTTATTTAACCTATTTTGAACCACCCTACCCCAAACCCCACCCCACAGAATTTTTTTTCTGGGGCCGAAATATTAAATGTTGAATATCTATCATAATACCATTATATGAAATTATATAATAATGATCAATTTGTTTGAATAATGCAAACACTTATCCCCATCAGAAGGTATAGTAAACAAATCAAAAAATTATCCTAGCTAAAATCTCCACAGTATACCCTGCATCATAAATTAGTGAGCATAAAATAAGTTGAGCAGCAATTTCAGTTTTCTGACCTTGACAATGAGCTGTAACTTTCAGGATTCACACTAACAGTCCTCTCCAGGGCAGCAGGTTGAGGTGGCTGTAGGTTATATGAAATGAAGTCCTCAAAGCAGTACAGTTCCGGTTCAGCTTCTTCCCCATCCTCATACCTAAATATCAAGTTTTAAAGTTTAATATTAAAGATCAAGAATAACTGAAACGAAGAGGAACTTTGAGAAATACAGTCAAACTTTGTTATCTCAAACTCAGTTTGTCTGTAATGAGGGTGAAAACAATTGGTCATCTACTAGTCAGGGGCAAACATATTACTAAATTTGATCTTTATCAGACCTAAATATCAGTAGAGGTAATTTATTTCTTACAGGGTACCAATGTACCAAATTTGATGTCTGTAAAGCAAATGGTTCTCAAGATACTGAGCTGACAATATCTCCCTATATCTAGAGTCTATGTTGTTTAACCCTTGACCAATGACCTTGTGACCACAAAATCAACAGAAGTCATCTTATGCTTAGACAAAACCAGTGTACCAAATTTGATGTCTGTCAAGTAAAGGGTTCTTAAGATATTGAGAGGACAACACTTGGTCTACCAACTGACCTACCAACCAACCATCGACAGGTGCAAGAGGGGCATAAAAATTACTTGAAATAATTTGATGAGTTAGGAAGAAAAACAATACAGTGTTCTATCACAAAAAGAACTGATACTCATTTTATTTACAGGCTTGGCTGATGAATATAAAGGAGAAACAGAATACTTCATTTCTTACAATGACGTAAGAATGGGAAAAATGAATCACACAAGTAGGAATACGTGCTTTATTGGTCTATTGAAAATTCCGAGTTTCTGCTCCAACAATGTCTCTCAAGAACTGCTGAATCTATCTTTATAGCTAAGCTGCATAAATCATTTTAACTCTCATTGAATGACTGCAAAACAAAGACCTATCCAAATGTTTGCCATTGTAAATTCTGGCCAATAATGTCAACAAGATAATGCCAATTACTTCTCGCTTTCCAAAAAATTCGATCATCACTCACTCAGCCAATATGATAACTTCATGAACATGATACAATTCAAGCTAAGCTTCACTAAAACCATTGTTTTCAAACATACTAAGTTTAAAATTAATTTATTTTTAACTTTCTTTTTCTCAATTATTTAAGACTTCCTACAATATGTGCTACATTCAGTTCTTATCAGAAATTTTTAAATTATATGAAATTTAAAGGTATAACAAAACATCCTCAAACCAAACTGTAGCCTTAATTGGCCTGATGGCCTCAGTCAAACACTTTGGTTCGCATGTCCGACAATGCGCATGTTGCTCAAGAACCTAGTTAATAAATGTATACTATAAGAAGCGTATGTAATCCTTACTTTAAATCTCTCTGTGATGTCTTTGGGAGATTGAACATTAGTTAAATTCCCAACATTTACAAAAAATGATTAACTAAAAGATCTACACTGTGAAGAATAAACTTGAGAAAATATTGTTAATGATATGCTCTCACCATGAAATGGTCAGAGCATATATAGATTTGTCATTCCATCATTCTTCACATTTAGTTTTCTGAACTTTTTATTGCCATTTAATGCTTATAGATTATGAGCTCATTTTTGGTATGTCTCTTTCTATTGGTGACTTATAGGTCAAGTTTAGGCTTTATCCTTATTGATCCATTTTCAAGAAGTTACTGTCCTTAGACTTGGAAATTTTTTTTAATCATTTAATGCTTTCCTCTAGAGCTTGAAGTTATAGATTTCTCTGGAATTATCTCTCTTTGCATATTAATACATGCTATCCTCCTTTGCCACTGAAGCTGAATGTGTCCAACTACAGTAAAACTTGTTAAACTTGTTCATAGAGAACTTGCTTAAAAGGAAATCTTGGTTATATGAACACTTTTACGGATCTCGTAGATGACCTTGCACTACGTTCCATATGTAGACGTAAAGAATTTCAGTCATAAAGAAGCAAAATTAGAGGTCCATGTGATTTCCATATAACTAATGTTTACTGTATATAAATCTGCAGAAATAGCAGTGAGGAAGAGTATCATTTTGAATTTAAAAAAAAAAAATGTCTATTTTTAGTAATCATGGCAAAATCATTAATCAAATCAAAAACTGATAAAAAAGAAATTATATTTCTTGGTGTTCTACTTGTGCACCAGGTTTAATTGAAATCAAAATACAAAACTGAAGAGGAGGTAAAATTTTGAAAAATAATGAACAGACAGATAAACAGACATTTAGACAGAGAGACAACTGACAAATTGACACTTTACTATTGGATTATCTCTTCTGGTCTCCAATCAGAATTAAGAGCTAAAAAATTATTTCACATTGATTTGAGGGGCATCTAAAAACAAGAGGCCCATGGGCCACATCGCTCACCTGAGCACATTGGCTAGGCAAAAGCACAATCAGTTCAGTATTGATAAGACCGGGGGGTGGGGGGGGGGAGGCTTGAATTTTAAACTACCTGATGATGCTTCCATGTCAATATAACAAATGGCTTTGTTGTACTTGAGAAGATTTTTTAAAAAAAATTCCCATATATTCCTTTGTAAAAATTTGATCCCTCATTGTGGCTCCTCCCTATCCCAGGGGTCATCATTTGAACAAACTTGAATCTACACTACCTGAGGATGCTTCCATACAGTGCAGGGAACTAATTTTGTTACATAAACCAGCATCAGCATAAGCATTAGTAGCATCAGGATCGAGCTAGCATCAGCATCAGCATTTAAAAAACAGCATTACCAGGATCAGCATCAGCAAGCAAAGGATAAAACCAGCATTGACCTACATAAAATCAGCATTATCCTACTAGCATCAGAAAATCAATGAGTTTTAATTCAGTAAAAAATTAAAAAAGAAAGAAAGAATATTGGTTAAAGTATTCACATTATTGATATATAGTGAGATATTATGATCAAATAATTGTAAAAGGCACTTTTATTGCTTTAAACGGCAATGCTGAAATTCATTATCTACTTCCGGTAGCATGATGCTACTTCCGGTAGCATTGACCTAATTATAAAACAGCATCAGGATAAGGATTACTAGCATTAAATCAGCAAGCAAAGGAAGCATTCAAATCAGCAAGCAAAGGAAGCATTCAAATCAGCATCGATGCTGTAACAAAATTAGTTTCCTGCACTGTATCAATATGACTAAACATAGCTTTTCTGTTCTTGAGAAGAAATATTTTTTCTATATGTTCTTATGTAAAACTTTCCATCCCCCATTGGGCCCCATCCTACCCCTGGGGGTCATCATTTGAACAAAATGAAATCTACACTACCTGAGGATGCTTCCATATCAATATGACTAAACATAGCTTTTCTGTTGTTCAGAAGAAGATATTTTCCTTTATATTTCTATGTAAAACTTTGATCCTCCATTGTGGCTCCGCCCTACCCCCGGGGGTCATGGTTTGAACAAACTTGAATCTATACTACCTGAGGATGCTTCCATATAAATATGACTCATCATGACTTGCTGTTCTTGAGAAGAAGATTTTTAAAGATTTTTCCTATATATTTCTATGTAAAACTTTGATCCTCCATTGTGGCCCCACCCTACCCCCTGGGGTCATGGTTTGAACAAACTTGAATCTACACTACCTGAGGATGCTTCCATATAAATATGACTCATCATGGCTTTGCTGTTCTTGAGAAGAAGATTTTTAAAGATTTTTCCTAAATATTTCAATGTAAAACTTTGATCCACCATTGTGGCCCCGACCTACCCCCGGGGGTCATGATTTGAACAAATTTGAATCTACACTACCTGAGGATGCTTCCATATAAATATGACTCATCATGGCTTTGCTGTTCTTGAGAAGAAGATTTTTAAAGATTTTTCCTATATATTTCTATGTAAAACTTTGATCCTCCATTGTGGCCCCGCCCTACCCCCGGGGGTCATGATTTGAACAAACTTGAATCTACACTACCTGAGGATGCTTCCATATAAATATGACTCATCATGGCTTTGCTGTTCTTGAGAAGATTTTTAAAGATTTTTCCTATATATTTCTATGTAAAACTTTGATCCTCCATTGTGGCCCCGCCCTACCCCCGGGGGTCATGATTTGAACAAACTTGAATCTATACTACCTGAGGATGCTTCCATATAAATGTGACTCATCATGGCTTTGCTGTTCTTGAGAAGAAGATTTTTAAAGATTTTTCCTATATATTTCTATGTAAAACTTTGATCCTCCATTGTGGCCCCACCCTACCCCTGGGGGTCATGATTTGAACAAACTTGAATCTACACTACCTGAGGATGCTTCCATATAAATATGACTCATCATGGCTTTGCTGTTCTTGAGAAGAAGATTTTTAAAGATTTTTCCTATATATTTCTATGTAAAACTTTGATCCTCCATTGCAGCCCCGCCCTACCCCCGGGGGTCATGATTTGAACAAACTTGAATGTACACTACCTAAGGATGCTTCCACATGAGTTTCATCTTTCCTGGCCCTATGGTTCTTGAGAAGAAGATTTTTAAATGATGCCATTATTTTTTTAGTAATTCCTAATTATCTCCCCTTGAAAAAGGGCGTGGCCCTTCATTTGAACAAACTTGAATCCCCTTTACCCAAGGATACTTTAGGGCTGGGACGATTCAGGGTTCAATCGATTCGGTTCGGTTTCGGTTCAGAATGATACGGTTCAGTTTTTTCGATTCGGTTCGATTTAACCTTAAACAGACCAAATATTTCTCATCATTAATGAAAAATAATAATATCTGCTTTATAAACTGATTAAACTCCTTTACTTCAGTTCTCATAAAAACTTTTCTGAGACACTACAAGTGGGGCTAGTGTATTTGATATTTTTACTGGCAAAAGTAAAATTTCTACTAGCCCAAAAACATAATAAAATTTGAAACTTCTGTTGTATTATTTTATTCCATTTACATTTCATAATGAATTGCTCTTCTTTTCATTTTTCTTCTGCTTATTTCTATTTTTGCATTTTCTTCTGAGTCATTAATAATAAATAAAAAATCAGTGAAATTATTTAATGCAGAATATAATAGAATGAACAATCATGTTTTGGATACCTTCTAACATAGTAGTATACATTTTTTTTCTGATCACTGGACTTCCTCTTTCAAAATGAAGTGAAAGCTAGTGATTTATTTTTTAATTCAAATTATCAAATACAATGTTAATATATTTTAATAACCCTTGTAAATATTTACTCTTCAGTTAACCAGTTGAGTAGTTGGAAATAATTTAATCAATTAATGTGATACCTTCATGTATTTTCCATAAAATCGGGATGGAGGAAATTCGGATTAGTAAAATAAAGACGATCTTTTTCATGGTCTTTAGAAATAAATAATGTAGATATGCTAAAAGAATTAGATAGATGAGATTTATGAACAAGAGAACCATACTTCTTTGATTTTTTCATTGATTTGGGCTTTAAAAGCAAAACTTGGAAAATACCTGCTACCTTTTCACTAGCCTGTCGGGCTATTTACTAGATGACTTCAACCTGGCACAATCATTATAAAAAGTATTAAAATCATGAAAACAAACACTTCCGATCTCCAATTGGCGGCCATTTTTGTTTATACGTGTTATGTAAATTTTGAACCGAACCGAATTCCAGAATTCTGGATCGGTGCACCGAATTGAACAGTATGAACCGCGGTGCACCGAAATTTTCGGTGCACCGCACAGCCCTAGGATACTTTGTGGCAAGTTTGGTTGAAATTGGCCCAGTGGTTCTTGAGAAGAAGTCGAAAATGTGAAAAGTTTACAGACAGACTGACAGACAGACAGACGGACGCCGGACAAAATGTGATCAGAAAAGCTCACTTGAGCTTTCAGCTCAGGTGAGCTAATAAAAAGGTGATTAGATGAGAAGAGCTGAAATAGTGATTTCATCTACAATGTACCTGGTACAACATCTCCTGAATAGATTCTGACAATATCACAGGTATCACTAAATGGGTATAAATACCAAAATACCAAAATAAGACTCATAAACCTGCAAGCATTGGATATCTAAAAGCATAAATCTGCTAGACCAAAAACACATACTACATAGAATGCATGTGCAATATAAGCTTAAATATGTTTAAAGAAATAAAATTTAGCAGATTTTTTTTTTTTTTTTTTTTTTTTTTTTTCCGGATATAGCCCATTCCAAGCAAGATATATTGACTTAATAAGCCTCATTTATTACCAGCCATTTCCACTTTATAGTTCCAGATGTATGTGAATATGAATGAAATGTTAGTTAAAAATCTTCCAAGACTTCCAAAGTTATCTCCCGTAAGTGTGAACCCATCTAAATTACACTACCTTGCAAACCATACAGATTTTCCAGTAGTTTTCCTGCTGCTTCTGATGAAAAAAGTTATCTTTCTTGTATCATAATTATAGTGAAAAGTGCCCTATATATATTGACTACATGTTTATTTATAGTTGAATTTTTACTTGTACAGGGCAATAAATCATGAATAACAACAAAAATTACACTGCTCTCTCCTAAAAAAGGCATGTGTCCCCAGTAACTGAATTTTTTTTATCATATTAAAGTTATTCTCTGTAAGATTATCATATGCACATTTGACAATTTGGAAAAAAAGATAAACATGTTTTTACTGATTTTATAATACGGCATGGGTTTTAGTGCAGAAATATATATAGAGGATATTCAATGTTTTGTTGATGAATATGGAATTTATTTCACGAGTGGGACAGATTTTTTTTATATTTTCATGAGTGCGAAGCACGAGTGAAAATATGAAAAATTCCTGTCTCACGAGTGAAATAAATTCTATATTCATCTACAAAACATTGAATTTTCTGTTTAATACATTTTCTTTGATCTTCCCTTTGCCCCCGTCTTTTCATAACACAGTGTCATAGGCTATGACGTCATAGTTGAGTGGTGGAGACGTCATAGCTAAGCGATTGAGAGATTGAAAAAGTTGTAAACATGGATTTTTAACAACATATTTGGAGAAACTTTGGCAGATATAGTCTCTGTCAGGATGGTTCATTTATTCTCTCTATCTTATAACCGGCCAGGGATTTTTTTTAAAACACTCTTCAAGAAGGGAAGGAAAATCGAGAGATTTGCCGCACTTCTGATATTCTCTCACTGTGAGAATACCATTTTTGATATCTTTTCACACTGTGTCAGAATATCACTTTTATTCAATAAATTAGTTACAGTATTTTACTGTTGAAAATGTAATAAGACATGCTCTTGAATGCTACTGCTATATTTACAAAAACAAGTAATACTGTAAAAGTCAAAAAATTGCATAATATACCCATTGGCCTCTGGCAGTTCACTATCAATGTCATAGTTCTCTGGCACAGCATCAAATGTCTGGCTTGGCAGAAGGGTAGGGGGCATGGCCCGGGTCACAAGGGGGGTGTGACTACTTGCCCTGCTACAGGCGGCAGACATGGTCTATCCATCTAGTGAGTATAAGAGCTACAAAAATAATCAAATCACTATATGTTCAAATTTTCCTCCCAAAACCAAGGTCAATGTACAAATATGAATATTTGTTATTTGTTGGAAGATCTGATTCATACATTTAAGACAAAGTCTTTACTGGGTCAAAATAATTCATTGTACATATATATTTGTTGGAAGATTTAATTCATACATTTAAGACAAAGTTTTAAGCTTTACTGGGTCAAAATAATTCATGAGCATATATGTACAATAATATTAAATATATTGAACCTGCAAAATTATTTTTAATCAGCTCAAATTGAACTGTCCTGTATTTGAGGGAAATAAATTTTCTGCAGATACCCATTTTCAATGGTTATGCACAATAATTTATAAAATCCTTCAGTGTAGGTCAAGAAGGCAATAATACTGAAAAATCTTCTCTTGCTTGCTCCAAAAATATTGATATTTTACATCCTTGTTTGAGTTCTTATCCACTTAATAGATAATTAATGATTTCTTGCCCGAAATTTTTTCAAGTCAGTAAATACAAAAGGCTCATTGTAAATCCTTCATTTCTCTTCATTGTGTTGCTAGAGTAATTCCAGCTGGTGTCAATCTTGGATAAAGAAAAATATATTTACTCAGTATATATTGATTCTGTTTTATTGAACACCAAGAAAAAGGGTCTCTCTTCATGTTATTCTCAAAATACAGTATAAAATTTATTTTTTGTCACCTGGTTATCAAATTGGCTTATTATGGGATCAATATGGAAATTTACTGCCCTGACGAGTAATCTAAAGAGTTGGCCCTGAAGGATGACACAAACACATTACACAGAATCATAAAGCTGTTTATCTCCCCTTTATGATCAGTGACCCACCCATCACTGTAAATATTCAAACAGGTTGAAAGTGTGTACCCTGTCTCATTTATGAAAAATTTAATCAGACAATGCAATTTCCAGACAGATAAATTTCTGTACAATTTCTTTTATCTTCCAGGATTAGGAATCAAAATTATTTTCATATTTATGTGTCAAGTGTTGAGGTAGATTAGATCTCCTTGATGTTTTCAGTTGCAACAATGTATTAATAAACTACCAAATATATTAAAGTACAAATATGGCTTTTCTTGCCTTTTGAGTCATATTTGGGATCTATAAGCTCTTATCAAAATATCAATGCCATGAAAATCATAATTCAACTGAACTAAAGGCCAGTGGGCCTTGATGGTCACTAAATATCATGAGTTTCTCTTGACACAACTAACCCCACCTAAAACTTTGCTATATTGAGAACTCTTAATTCGTGTAACATGTATTTTACTAACTAATGAGGGATCTATTTCAATAAGCTTGTTCTTAGATGATTAAGAGTAAAAAAAAATGAATTTTAAGATAAAGTGCACTGCAAGTTGCATTACTGCATTATATTTTGCTATATTTTCTTACTACAAGAGGCCCAAGGGCCTTAATGGTCACCTGAGTAAGATACAACTCTGCTTCCACATAAGCTCCAGCCTTCAATCATCAAGTCCTGCTCTTTTAGTAATATTTATTGTACAAATTTAAATATAAAGTACTTTTGACTATAGTAATGTTTATTTACTTCTTATTTACAAGTCTACTTGACCATTAAAAACTATAAATATACTTGTATTATATACTTAAAGTTTTTATATGATTCTTTTATTCAATATACAAGGGACGTTCAAAAATTATGCGCACTCTGCTATTATTTACTCTTACGGACGTCAAATAGTAATGAAATTTCACAGAAATATTTTTCTTACAGATCCCAATAAAATTTTGGTAAAATTTTTGAACTTGAATTAATTTCTTCTAAAATTATTGCTCTTTTGAAATCAGTGATGGTAAAGTACATTTGCGATTTCATTTAACAATTTTCTCAAAGGTATCTTTTTTATTGTTCTATTATTACGTATTTAGATTTCTTAAGTAAAATTTGAAGTACAAACAGAAATATAGTGATTTTTCTCCGATGCGATTCCTATAAAAACAACTGCAAAAATGACATCTCATGAATTGACGGAGCAGCACACTTTATCAAAATATGTGTAATGCTCAAGAAAATGCCAAGATAGACCCAAAATATGCTTGAATGAAATATGTAGTAAACCAGGGTATTCCAGTCATTAATCTACAAATAGCAAAGAGGAATTTTTGACAGTTAAGACCTCAGTAAAAGGCAATCCAGGAGGGGACGGGAAGAATATCATCGACGAAAACATTATCTGGACTGATAAGAACGTGATTGACAGTAACCAACACAATATTTCAGAAAAATACGCAGTTTTGGGGTTTAAACCAAAAAAAATATACATGTATTATTCTAGTTTGATAGATTTTAAACTTGGTAAAGGGATGTTTATGCTGAGTAGATAAGGTAGCCCAAACTGTACATTATCAAATTGTGAGGGAAAATGTTGAGAAAATGAAAGCTCACATTTAATAATGCCAGTGATGTCGAAGATTTTACTGCACTGTGACTTCATGATATGTCCTGTTAAATCACCCAAAATTCATGTCAATTTGCCACATTTTGATATGGAATTTGAAGACCATATCAGTAAAGATTCTTTTATCTTATGTGTGACTTTTTTCCTAATTATTTCATCAAATATTTTTTCTGTGCAACAAGTCTGCATATTTTTTGAACGGCCCTCGTACCTATCATTTTCATTATGCAGTGATTAATTATCATGGGTAAGTCATTAGATGGGAATAATTTCTCTAAAAAAAATTCCCTACATTATCAATAGAGCTCTGCCCTTGTGCAAGTACTCCTGACCCAGGGGCATGAATTTCACAAATCTAGTGAAAGTACTCTTGCTCATTATAACAAAGACTGGTTTGCCTGCTAGATGCCCAGTAGCAGAGAAGACTTTGAAAGAATTAATGTTTTTTACTATATGATGAAAAAGGCCCTGTCCTAACACCAGAGCCCCTGACTCAGGGGCCATTAAATTCACAGTTTAATTTCACAGTTTAAGAGGAGGCACATGTGCTCATCATAATCATGTACAAAGCATGTCTGCTTTGTACCAAAGAGCTGAGAAAAAGAATTTCAAGGTATTAATTCATTTTCATACTATGATCAATAGAGCCCCACCCCTAACATCAGAAACCCTGACCAAGGGGCCATGAATATCACTATTTTGGAAGACACATCCATGCTCATCATGACCGCCTGTACTAAGTTTGTCTGCTTAGTACCCAGGAGCAAAGAAGATTTTCAAAGAATTAACGTACATGCATTAATTTTCACCTCATGATCAATAGCGCCCACCCTAACACTAGAAACCCGACCCAAGGGCCATAAATTTCACAATTTAAGCCTAATTGCTAATCATAACCATGTACTAAGTTTGCAAAATGTATAGGGGGGGGGGGGGGGGGGGGAGATGCCTTGAATAAAAGAATTTATGCACTTGGGGCCATGAATTTCAAAATGGAAAAAAAAAACTGATGAGATATCCGAGGATTCAAGATACTGGGGTAAAAAATACAAGAAATGACAAAGAAAAAGTGGTTGGGACTACCAACTCACTTTGGCATATCCATGGTATTTGATACTAATGTTCACGATTTTAATGCTGAGCATGTCTATTCATCTGCAAAAATACAAGAAATGAAATTTCACCAAGCTTACTTCATAGATATCTCCTCATGTTTTACTATAAACAATGCATTCCTCAAACTACACAATAATTTGATCTCTGCAATACTAACCGTTTACCGGTAATTTCCTCTTGTCCACAATGAATGTTTTGAATTCACAAAGTAAAACCTATAATGAGCCATTACACCAGCAACGAGCACATTCACACCTAATATGCACAAATACTAAAGAACTTATTAAAATTATTAATTCTAAACCATTATCCATTCTGAATGAGACAGATCAAGGGTTATACTTCCATTAACCAACACAGATTATTTAATGCGCAACATAAATTATAAACCATATTCAAGAATTAATTCAAGATTACCAATCTTCAATGAGTGCTACAAAAATTTAACTTAAGGTATAATCAATTTGACTTTTTAAATGCCTATGAAATATCAGTAAATTTGTAGTGTTAAACATGTTAAAGAATCTTTGATCTTTGAAGTTTATAATGTGAAAGACAGCTATAATTTTACTATTAGCAATGATCAAGGCCACATTCACATACCAGCCCATGCACTTCACACAAGCTTTTCAAGTGGATTGGGTCTTTTTATTCATAATTATATCTCCTCTAGGAGGAGAATTACTGGTTTTGGCATGCTTGTCTGTCTGTTCGTCCATCCGTCTGTCACAAAATCATGTTAAAAGTCTTTTAACCCTTGATTGAAATGGGTTATAACTTCAAGTATATTGTGGTCCTTGACCCAAATGTGTGTTAATTGTCTCAAGGTCATATCCCAAAGGTAAAAGTCAATGATGCAATGATATGTACAGTGGGTTAGAAATGAATTCAACATTACATTATTGTAGTGATATAACTTGGAAAAGGGTAGACATCTTTCTTTGTCAGAAAACATCTGGTTTACTTTGAATGGAACCTTTAAAAAGTCTGCATTTCAATGAGCAAAAAGGGTCTGTCCTCTGTTTTGAAAGCAGAAGGTATCTTTGTGCCCCCCATCCCCCCACCCCTTTTTCCCCAACACATACAAATTTTCGTTACAATTGTATATACATCCAGGAAATATAGGATATTAAAGGTCTTCACCCCTAAGCTGGATTATACAATACACAGACTGTGCAACCCCCCCCCCCCCCCATATTATTGAGTATACATTTATTCTCCGTGTATTTCCATTCTTTTTCAGGAGTACATTTTATAATTCCAACCAGCAGTGTCAAATTTCTTTTTTCTGCCCCAACATTTCGAAAACAAAAACAATACATCTGTTGAATGTTGTTCTGTTGATATGACATTAAATTGTATGTTTCACACTGTATAAACAACTACTTACAGGTTTTGTTTAAACTCAATAAGTGGAAATAAAGCCAATCAAA